AAAAACTCATAGAGAGGTTCAGATTTGACTTCCACTACTGCTACCTCTCACTGGCTTAGTAAACATCTGATTGGTTGATTGGATATATAAAACGCATCTGATTGGCTAATGGTCCCTTAATGGTAGTGGTCGTCAAATCTGAACCTCACTAATGTTATCTTGTTTTAAAGACCAAAAATCTTCATGAAACTATAGAAGGTGTGGGAAAGCAATGCATTATATCAAAATGATCGCTAGTTCCCAGACCTTCTATTGTTTTATAATATGTAAATATATATAAAGTAAAACTAACATTAGACGTAGAGATATTTATCAGACGAGTTTGAAAGAGAAGGCATATAAGTACAGACCTACACATTTGACTGGATTGACTATCAATTATGTTAAAAACTAAGGGATGTAGCTTTCTAAAGCACTGTGTAGCTTATAGATAGCCTAGTCCAGTCCTTCTCGCGTGACTGGATCGATTTTGAAACCCTTGTATAGTAAGGTACCACCCTAAAATAGTAAGGCGGAAGCGAAAAGGCGAGGAACTAGGCTGGGTTCATGTTTGGACTAGCATTTGGTAAGAATGACATCACATGGGAAATGAAGGGAGATGAGCGCATGTGACGTCATACTGACCAAATGCTAGCACAAAATTGCCAAAACCAGCCGAGTAACGGTCTAGATCAATGAATTTGATGTTTTGTCCCTTTTTAACAAGTATTAATTGTGACTGTCGTGACGAAAGCGTATTCGCCGGTGTACAATAGTCTGGAACTATCTTGGATATCGTGCTGGATACAAAACAGTCTTAATTAATTGATTGCAAAGATATATTGTAGGCTCTGGAATCTCAACTTGTCTTAAGACCGATTTACCAACCCAACCTCCACAGGAGGGAAGTGCCTGGGAACGAGGTTGTTGCCATCCCAGTGAATGACAGTAAGGCCTACTGTACGTCGATCATCTTGACATGTTGCGACAATTAAATTTATGATAGTGTAGAAAAGTCCCTCGTTACACCGCCTCCGTTTCAATCCGCGATAAGGGGTACTCGGCAAATTGGCTTAGTAACCTTCTCAACTCTAAACCTCTGTCTTAACCCCGAAACCTGCATTAAATTTATATAAGATTTAAGGTAAATGTCCCTATTGACATCTTCACGACAGTTACGACCAAATGGGGTTAATCCTCCTGTGTATTTTCTCTTATCACAACTCGTCTTTAATATATCTCAACATATTAGAGTATAACAAAGTATAACTTAATATTTTAATAGTTACTACTGTACGACTAAAAGTTAATCTGTTGGGTTTTTGTATGTAACAATAGTTCTAGTTTTGTTTGAAGATTGATTATATATTACCTTATCATTGTGATTCATCTGTTAATTATAATTGATCAAATAAAATTTTAAAGAATGAAATCTTGTGTGACATATTTGCGCGTACGAACTGTCCAATGCAAAGCTTGTTTCATGATCAAGATAGTCATGCCTAGCTCTGTACTCTGTACTCTGTAGCCCAGCTCAATGCTACAGATTTTGAAATTGGGCTAAAAAGTCACATATAGAAGTAACCTTTTACATTGTATTGTTTTACTTTGCTTTAAAACACTAGTCTATCTTAGAACCACATAGTTTTTCTCGTGCGGTCGTTACGTATCCAACGACATGAACGCCGGAATATGTTATATCACAGGGTTATATGAACCGCACGAAAGACGCAACTTGATATCGTAAGAAATGTTTTTCTGTATAACACTGCAAAATAACCCGAAAATAATTTTTCTTGTGCGTATATGTTTATCATCAAGACTTAGCGTAAAATTATGTTGAAACATCGACTAGTAAAACCGTTGAAATATGTCGCAGTTTACATCATGCAACATTTCGTCATCTCTTCCTGTTTTACCAGGAATCCTTCGCATGGTTCGCAGAAAACGGTCGTTTTCGTGGAAGATGGCTAATCACACATTTCATAAGAAAACCGTTGAAACGTCGCTTTTCTCAAGAATTACTCAGTTTAAATACCCTTTAGGGACAGTTAAAGGTCACTGGGTTGTAAACTAGTAAATATGGGTGTTTGTTTGAAAAGAAAGCGTAAAAAATCCAATTCAACTAAATATAGGCTTGTCGCCAAAACTCGTCATTCAGGTCCCGATCGTATCACGATCAGCTTCATTTCAAAACAACGCAATTCCCTTCTTGTTTTTTTTTCACATGAGATTTATTTACTCCCTTGTAAACTTGATGTTCTTTTTACTTCAGAATTCTACATTCTACAGTATAAATTACGTTATGTTAAGAAAAAATTGTTATTCAATTTTACCCGTAGTCCATATAGATATTCGACCTGTTCCGCTGTTCGGAATTGAATGTCGAAAATATTGCATTGCTTTATTCAAGATTAATAAATATTTCGCAATTATTGTAGAATGTAGAAAACAACTACATACCCGCTAATAAAACAGCCAACAATCTTGTAGCAATGCGAGTGTTCCTACCAATCCATCTTGAGACAACAACGAAGAGCGCTCAACAATGGCTCAACCACCTTCGGCGGTTCGGCCGCTTCGGCCCAACTCTGACTTACTCTGACGTCATCACAACTACTGCGGTATGCCATTTCCAGGCCCCCTTGCATTGCCCGAGGCAATTAGTGCCCACCAAAGTCAGCTTTCTAGTTTTACGTTGCTGGGTATCAGTAAGCGTACAGGACAGCAGATGGAGGTCATCATTTGTGTAGTGGGAACAAGAAAGTTAGACTACATCTGTCAATTTTATTTATTTGCCATCAAATACAAGATTACAACATATTTTCTCGACACGAAAGAACTCGTTGTTCCGTCAAAGAAAGCTGCCAAATTTAATGAAGACAACCCAGGAATAAAATGCCCTTCGAAACCTATATGCTGTAGTAAGAGTTTCGCACCCCCGGAAAAGATCGCGCCTAGCCTTAGGACGCTATCCACCGGATACAGCCTAGGCTATATGGCCTTCTATTTGATCTATTTCAGCCACTGTTTCAGCAAATTTCAGCGCTTTTCACGTGAGAAGACTGGAACCTAGCATTTGGGCGGCGATCGATTAACAACTTTTAACAACCTACAAATCAAGTGCCGCCTGCCGAGTAAAGGCCCTAGGTCATCCTCGTTCCCAGGGCTTCTCGGCTGCCTGCGTTGGGTCTAAACTGCACCGGATAGTGATTTTTTCGACCTTTCTGAAATTGACAGTATAACCAAGATGACAGTGCATAAAGTGCAGTAACTACATCTTTATGAGTTTTTTCCATATATTAATGGTGTCGGTGAGGACCATATCTGTAGTTTCACAGTTTTTAGGCAATTTTACGAAGGTTCAAAAAATCACTATCCGGCCTTCGTACAACCGGTACAGCCGGCTCCAAATCCAGGGGAGGAGAGGTTATCACCTACTCTTCGCACGAGTCAGAAAATCAGTAAAGAACCAAGTAAAGATGACCTGATTAAAATTGTAGACACGCCAAATTCGGAAAATGGTAAGAAGGCTAGGAAATATTCCTTATATTAACAGCAACTATTTTTCCCTCTGAGAACTGCCGGTTGACCATAGTGTTGCAATGTTTAGTGTCTTTAGTGAAGCCGACCTATAAAGTAATTCTTAGAAAGACACAAAACACCACAGTTTTCTGACATCGGCCTCCCGAACCAGAGAATGAAAAGGTAAGATAAAAACCATGGATACAAATTTTTAATCGGCCTTTTAGTTTGGACGAAAATTTTAGATAATCCACAAAGTAAGATTGACCGACACTTCCTAACATCTTGTTTTTTAATTTGGGAATATTTCTTCACAAATCATGTCTGGATCAATAGGAGTTTTCTTTTCTGACATTTTGAAATAAATGGACATGAAGAAATACACAAACTAAAACAGTGGGTTGAATTTAAACCAGGATTAGCGCTGATCCACCTTTGAACAACCGGCCCCAGTAATCATCAGTGATCGATTCATCTTCATCTTACCCCTCAGTCTTTTCATTTACTTCAGTTTCTTAAGCAGGGCATACTGTATCACTGTACTGCATACACTATCCTTGATTCCTCGTCTGTCTTCGTATTGTCATTACGTGTCAACCAGCATATAAACTTTCAATTTCAGGTGCAGTACTAACATGATATCAAGAATTATTTGAATTTTTACACTTGGTCGGCAGGAAATGCAGTCGCATGTTCCATAGATTGTCGAATTAACAATTTGCACAAAATAGCAGCATGTTGTGGGGAATTGCTGTTAAGTAATTTAGTCTCGCGCGCACGATATACGTTTGTTTCGTCATAATTAGATTAGGGGCCGACCATTTAACTTTTGAGGGGAGGGAGGGGGGGGGGATTTTGAAAAAAAATTTCCTGCAAGGCTATTCTGAACAACAAAAAAAAACCTGCACTGTACAAACTGGGGGGGGGGGAATATCCTGCCCCAGTATTTGGTTGGAAAAAAAATGTTGCAAAACAGCATGGTTGCAGGGATCGATTTGACCAGTCCCAGACTAGATCAGCTGGTTTGATTTTCAGGGACTAGTGTAAGGTTAATTTCTTGTTGGAAAACTCCTCAAAATGCTGGAAATAGCTTATCTGAGATTCAAGAAATCCAAGATTTTCTGGCGGGGGGCATGCCCCCAGACCCTTCTAGAGGCTCGCACCTTTGGTTGTCGACTCGGTTGTCTCAGAATCCTAGTTATAACCTGATTTGCTGTCCTATGACGTATACTTATTAGTTAAACCATGCATATATATGCTGGTAGCTGCAGTGATACAGGCCGATACAGACTTGCCGATCGACTGGAACTTCTCCAGGTCCCCCGCTAAATATGTCCTCTCCAGTTACACATCCTTAAAAGAGGCCCTGAACCAAATGTTATACCTTGAAGCTAGAAAACTCAACGTTAACTCTAATTGAAGAATCTAAATAGTTTAAGCTATTGAAAAAAAAATGTTGCGAAAGAGAGTGGGAAAAAAAATCGTACATGGTGATGGGATAGGAAAAAAATATCTTGCACATAACGATCCCAGAAAAAAATTCCCTGCCAGCAGTAAATCACCCCCCCCCCCAAAAAAAAAAGGTTAAATGGTCGGCCCCTTAAGCCATGGATTATGACCACTGCTATGCATAAGTGAAGCCAATGGCGGCCATATTGGATGGCCCCACCATTAATCTAATCTGGTGTTGTGGACATGTTCAACTCTTCCTTTACGTTTCTACTTTCTAGTCACTCATGGGAAAGGACAAATATTGCCTAGATAAGAATTTATCACCAGTACCCTCTCTTTTTCCCTAAATTTGCTGGTGAATAACTAATGGCGGTCATCAAATATGGCCGCCATAAGCCTCATTATGTATAAAAACGTTCTAAAACTACTTCGAAGAGGTTTTGGAAGCTATATTTCACAAGTCACATAGGCGAAGATATTTGCTTTGTAGTCTAACTGAACTTAAACAGCAAACGATTAGACTGGTCATGAATTTGACTGATTTATAAATCTCATCTCATTAAAATATTCTGGCTTCAAAATTGAATTACAGAATTCAGTAGGATGCTTTAAGGATTTCCAGTCCTCGCACGAAGCTCCTCGCAGCTCGCTGCGAGTGATGCATAAGCACTTTCATCCGATCCAATCACAATGCTAAACAGTTAATTTTAATTAGATGCAAGTATTCGCAGCGAGGAGCTTCGTGCGAGGACTGGAAAACCGCCTTTATCCAGTCTTATTTCATATCAGTGGTGAAAACCCATCATCCCTTGCGCGCTCAGAGTTTTTTAAGGCTTTGGAAGGGCAACCTTAATTGAATCAGCTGTATATCTAAAGCGAGAACTCGAGTCCAAAAAGTGAAGCCAGGCAGTCAAAAACAATAGAAAAGGACTGGAACTGACGTCCAAATAGCTCCTTCAATTTCCGCCATCTTGGCAAGGAGCGTGCCGAAATTTCGTATTTTGACATCGATTTAAAGAACACTGTGGTTTTATGACCAGCGATACGGTCTGTTAGAAAAAACTGGACTTAGCTGGTGGAAAATGGTATAAAAGCTTCCGCCATCTTGACTTTACTTTTAGGCCGAATGATTGAGGTTCTTGCTCCAGATATATATGGAGCTCACTGTGCATGAGTAGCCTGAAAGTACGAGGTTGCTTTTAAAAGAACAGCATTTGACACAGGCTAAATCAAGCAAACCTGTGACGCCATCATTAACAAGTTAGGTAGCCAGAGTTTCTTAAAGCCGGTTTTTTTCTTTGTCGTTAGCTTGTGATTTCTCGGGTGGAACTTATTACAAAAATTCTGGTCCGCGCGGAGCGGAATTTCTCTTTGTTTTTTCTAATTAGTTCCACCCGAGAAATCACAAGACAAAGAAAAACTAGGGGCCGGTTCTGCGAAATACAGACAGTGCTATCCACCGAAATCACATTTCAAGCATTTTTACAACGCTTGAAAAAATCATTAGAGATTAGCGGTATCTTAATATAATATTTGTCTTTGGTACAACAAACTCCATGCAGATCATCAACGTTTCTTGTGCAATTATCAGATCCCGCGAGATGTCGAAGATCTCGGCATTGTCGTGTTCCCATAAAACCGTTAAGCAGGACAGTCAACCATCGAAGATAAATTTGCAACATGAGCTCCACCTTTGAATTTACTATAGGAGATTGATCAATAGAGTTAATCATAAAACCACAAGCATTAGGCAAGACTTCTTGTTATAAATGTAATGGCACTAAAAAGGAGGCTGGTCGCGCGGGGGTGACGGGCGGAGATTTCCACTATTTCCAAAAAAAACAGTTTTTAAAAAAGTTTTAAAAGAGTTTTAAAAAGCAAAAAAAGTTTAAAAAGTTAGATTTTCAAAAAAGTTTAAAAACTTAAAAAAGTTAGGGGTTAGTGGTTAGGGTTGGGGTTAGTGTCATCAGGTGCCGCGAATTTATTATTATGATAAATTCAAAATGTGCCGCGAATTTATCAGTAATGATAAATTCGGACGTGTTTAAGAATTTACTCATATAGTAAATTCAAAGGTGGAGCTCATGCTGTAAATTTGTCATTTGTCAAGTTAAATGGATGTCTTGCATGCAAATAGTAAGATTACATTTTAAAAAGCAACGAGCGCTCGTTCCAGTCAAAGGACGTTTTGAAAGAAACTTTTGCCATGTATTCGCGCATTCGATTTAAAGAAGGTTTTATAATAAGGCAGGGCTTGAAATTTCAGCCTGGTCAACTGGGCTGAATTCAGCCCTGGGGTTGAAAAAGCTCCATGTAATCAATTAATCAAGCTCCATGTAATCAACCTCTTTTAATCAACCTCTTTTACACCTTAAAAAGTGTAATCACTCCATAAAGGTATAATGGCTTTTTCAGTGACCTAAAAATCTAAATCGATTTAAACATAAGTCACAAGTCCACAATCTAAGGTTTTACTTAATCCTTTCTTATAGTAAAAATATACATTATTTAGTCCCACAATCTACATATTTATATAGCCTACGCATAAGAGAACGTCATATATGTTTATGTTAGATGTACAGAAACTGTGCAAAATATTAATTTAAAATATATAGCTAAAATTTTTCACACATGGTGTACATCTCATATGCGATGTTTCACACAAGATGTTTACACAGGAATTTGTTTCCAAACCTTTACAATGTGAATTAAATGGAAGCAAACTCACGCCAGTCTACAGTTTTAGTTCAATACATTGGTATGACATACTGATTGAAGGTTCGTAGCGCTCAATTTTCTAAAATTATAAAAATACTAATTATCTGCGAGTTACTACCCCAAGCGCTGCCTCATATACCTGCACGTTCTCAAGGGGAAAAATGAAGGTAAACATGCCCCTGGAGCCCCACCTGTCTCCAATGCGTATCTTTTGCGAGCAAATCTGTGTTATAGCTAATAGTACACTACAAAACCAGAGTGCCCGGGAAAAGGTGGTGTTCAAACTGGAACAACTTTTCACACATGCGACAACATTTGATCAGACAACCGCGCACCGCAGGAATCGAACCCACGAAGGGTTCATGCACTCATCTGACACTTCACCTACATCTTCGACAGTATTATGTCAGCATGACACCCACATATAGAGTCAAAATAATGTCAAATGTTCGATAATTTCCTGCTTGACCACCTATTTTTCATTTTTTACTTATTCATTCATGGTAGGAGTGCAGTGAGTCTGAACTGTCAGAAAATGATTACAGTCGTGCCAATAGAAGCGTTCCGAAAAATGTTGACCAATTCATTTCCTAACTTGAAGGAACACCTCTGAACAATTCCTCAACAATTTGATAATTTTCTTAAAAAGTTCCTAACTTCCTGTTTCATTGACCAATCAGATCGCTCAAAACTAAAATATAAAATTTGATTGGTCAATGAAACAGGAAGTTAGGAACTTTTTAAGAAACTTATCAAATTGTTGAGGAATTGTTCAGAGGTGTTCCTTCAAGTTAGGAAATGAATTGTTCAACATTTTTCGGAACGCTTCTATTGGCACGACTGTAAAAGCCCTTCGATGTTTGGAGCATGGTCTTTCGTCAAAATGTTAGCAGGGCATACAAACATCACATTTTAGTATTTTCAAATAATGCTGACACAAACCAAGGCATAATAAATTTGCCGTATTTCAACGTACATTATCGTGGAGATGTGGTTTGTGCTTGTTTTGTATTCGATGATCTTCGACCTGCTGCTTGGCGTTGTCTTGCTAAGAAAGACATTCCTGTACTGCCAGATAATCTTTCTTCTGCGGCTTTCTTATGAAGTTGCATGGCCTGGAAAATACCACAAATACACCTTTTCGATAATTACGTCAAGTATACTTCCTTGACTTGGGACACTCGCACTTATGAATCAAGACGAAAGGCAATTTGCTCATGATTCATGAGAACATGGCTCCCGGACCAAGAAGAGATTTGTGACGCAATTATCGACAGGACAATTATAATCGATCAAAGAATATACTAAATTACATTAGATATTACAGTAAATGCAATAAGGGAAATTTCTATCTGAGAAGCTAATAGTATCCGATAAACAGACTGCAACAGCACAGACCTGGAAAAAGTGTTTAACGTTCCGGCCCCTGAATTTGTATCTTCCAAATGTTCCTCAAAAGTGCGTAAAAACAATAAATTTGACATTACGCCAAATTTGAACATTGAACAACCCTTCACAATCTCAAATGAGATAAAGGAAGTGTGATATAATGATTCAAAAGGAAGTGTGTGTGTAGAGATAAAGGAAGTGTGATATAATGATTCAAAAGGAAGTGTGTGTGTAAAGATAAAGGAAGTGTGATATAATGATTCAAAAGGAAGTGTGTGTGTGTGTAGAGATAAAAGAAGTGTGATATGATTCAAAACGAAATGTGTGTGTAGAGATAAAGGAAGTGTGATATAATGATTCTTAAAGATTCTCCCATAACGTATGTGTGAAAAATTGAAAAAAAAGTCGTGCCAAGGTAAATGTTTCTCAGGATCCCAAGATCCTGCACGTTTCTTTCAGGTCTGCAACCTCATAACGTCCTTTTATATGAGTACCCAAGTTATTTGTGGTCACATGACTGCCAAGAATTTTAAAGTATTAAATAGACTTTTGAATAATTTTTGTGAGGGAGAGACGACATTGGTTATTTTACATGTTCTGTTTAGCCAATTGTGAAGTTCCTGATCACATTTCAAAAATACGTACCAACCAACCTGCCAATTTTGCAACGAAATATTTGAAATTACCAAACACACAGGCTATACCTTGGGCCTTTACTTTCTAGCCTTTACTCGGCAAGCAGTGCATAGTTGATTGCAGGTTAATCGACTTCATGACGTCTTGTTTTTCCTGCCCTGCCCTCCCCCCTCATTTTCCGTTTTTTTCTCGATAGCTACACGGAGATCGCAAACGGAAAGAACATAAAACAAACATTCGCACAAAAGAGAAATTGGAAGGCCCTAGATCTAGGCTGCAAAAAACAACCTTCACAAAATTTGCGGCCAAAGGTTTGTGAAAGCAACTGTAAGGCAAACTTGTAATGCATTAAACTAAAATGAGTTTAAAAATTACAGTCCAGGAATTACGGCAAGTAGTGTGACAATGTTGTATATTGATTCACCCATATTCCCTGTGTACACGCACTGTCTAAAACATGTAACCACAAATAATCAGGGCACCTTCTCACGTACGGAGAAGACTTCGTCAATGTAACAAATTGTTGAAGACGATATTTCCAACTGGACCAAACATCATTGGTAAGTGGCCAGATAGACTATCGCAGGATATTGGATAACACAGGATATTGGATAACACTGGATATTGTCTAACACAACAGTCCACGAAAGTATTACTTGACACGGTCAAATCCTGCATCCTAATTTAGAAAAGACAAGAAAAGCACAAACATACCATTTCGTACCAAGCTGTTACCATTAATTTCTCTTCTCGTTCACGAGTTACTTTCATCTTTTCATGATCGCGCTATAATAATACATTAACTAAAAGTTATTATCACAAGGAAATTACTGCCTCAAATTTGACGATCTCAAATAGACAAAACGGGAAAATGACTGGGTTATTTCGTGTCTTTTCAGACGCCCATGAAAAAGTGCTGCTCATTACTGGAGTGAGCGCTCAAACACTCGTGGCCTTGTTACAGGGATCTTTGAAAAATAAACAAATACATTTCAAATTTACTGTTCTTGAAAGAATACAATTTAGTCCAGAGAGATCAGATAGCCAGATAGCGCGACAGAATTTCCGGAAACATAATAGGCGCGTGCCGTACGATTTATTACGTTTGCTAATTGTAATTCATTAATTGGAGTGGACATCGGTTGATTACGTTCGCTAATTGGAATTAGCACAAGCTGGAGCTAAAAAAACACCAAAAAGACATCCAAACCACAGAATAAGAAGTTATAGCAGAAGCGTAACTCTAGTCGTTTCCCTTATTGTTTTACGTCCACGAAAATTTTAACTCGCTCACGCCAATCCACGCCATCCTGGCTAGTACAGCCGGAAGTTTTTATCAGGTTTTGGTAGGTACAAAGTGCCGGTTGTACTAGCCAGGATGGCGTGATTGATGACGAATCGCTTGTAAAAACGCGGACAAATACTTGCTTGAGTTACGCTTCTGCTATACCTTCCTATTCTGTGTCCAAACCGAACGACCCATACGAATCGAGATCGCTTAATAGACCTTTCCCCTTTTGAGTGAAATTTTGATCTAGACAAGTCTGGACAAAAATTTCATCACAGCTTGAAAGAGCATCACAAAATTAGTAATATTCCGAAGTTTCGTTGCGAAATGTTGTAAAATGCGGATAATATAGCCTTGCGAAGTTTTCCGTTTTTCAGTCATTTGGTATTACGCACGGGAAATTGATAATCAGATGATCAAACTGATTATCAATTTCCCACAATGACTGAAAAATTGCAAACTTCGCAAGACTATATTATCCGCATTTTACAACATTTCGCAACGAAACTCGGAATATTACTAATTTTGGGATGCTCTTTCAAGCTGTGGTGAAATTTTTGTCCAGGCATATCTAGACCAAAATTTCACTCATAAGGGGAAAGGCCTATTGAGCTCTCTATTGTGTATTTTACTAGGCTCCTATCCACGCGCTAAAAGTAAAGTCGAACTGAGCGTGCGGGGGTAGGGGGCGGAGCTTGGAGAACTGGACGAGGATGACTACTCCTTCTCAACATGTCGTGTGTGGATTCAGGGCACCTTCTGTACAGAGCCCTGGGTACGAGGCTGGTATTTTGGCCCAAATATTAGGGCGGAATCCTAAACTAGTTTGGGAATCCATAACAAGCGATTGGAAGTACAAATTCGTTGAAAAATGAAGACATGTTTTTATAGGTGAAAATATAAATCATGGGTGTCAAGCAGTTATGTTGACGATTGCAGCCATGGTATCAAATAATGAAATAATTACCTCTAAATGTTCTATAAATTTCTCTTTTTCATGAAGTTGGTTCTTTAATGTATCAATCTATAATAGTTAAATAATTCCATTATAAGCTTCCAGCATTCAGGTCACTGTTTTTATGCAAGGGATATCTGTATACATTGCAATGGGTATTGAATTTATTTATTACAAAATCTTTACAGAGGGTAAAACATTTCAGTGCACAAGACACTGTTAATACAGATAAATAAGACACTCCAAATAACAGAGAGGTTCAGATTTGACTTCCACTACCACTACCATTACGGGATCATTAACCAATCACATGGGTTTGATATATCCAATTAACCAATCAGATGCGTACTAAGCCAGTGAGAGGTAGTGGTAGTCAAATCTGAACCCCTCGATGCAAAGACGTTACAATAAAACGTCCCCATTATATGTTACAATGGTTACAACCCAATTTCAATATAATGTTGCTACAGTATAAATACATTTTTCGTATTCCAATCATCAGAAAAATTTCACTGAATAAAAAAGTCGTTCAGCCATGTCTTTTCTTATGTATTTTATGTGAGGCATACGTATCAATATCATACGTATCGAGAGATGAGTACGCATACGTATCGAGAGATGAGTCTCATCATCGTGCAGTTTCGTGCATAGTATTGATGGACTTTTTTATGTAAAATAATACCTCTGGTGCATTTCCAGGACCATTTTGCTTGGGATCCAGCGTTTTAATGACCTAGAAAAGGAGAAATTATTAAAACACTTCAGATTAACAGAATATTGTGGCACATAAATACAGCAACACGAGTACTGCACTGCAACTTACACTTTTTGCTTTTTCTAAATATTTCTTGTATTTGGCTTCCATAGCTTTCATTTCTTGATCTTTTTTACTCAACAAATCTTGTAACTCATTTACCTTTTCCGCTAAATATGAAAATATAGAATATCGAAGATCTATATAAGTTAAACAATTTTTATGATAAGACATGAGTGAAGCCCAACCTGTTGCAGTGGTTCGAGGTTCAAGTGATTCCATGTACGTTTTCTTCTTTTGAAGTTCATCATTAGCGTCTTTTAATTTTTGTCTGAATAAAAGAGATATTTTTTAAACCAACTATTACACGGAGTGATATGCGAGACTGTGCAGTGAGTTATATCCAAACATAGTATACAGATATTTCACAGCACACTCCTTATCAGGGCTTTTCAGTGACTGGTTACATTGTGAATAGATAGAGAGAACCGGACTGACGTGAAGCAGACCGAGGCAGACTTTGAGCTTACAAATGGCGCTTGAGCAGCCGCTATTAGTCCATACCTCATTAATGATCTGCCTCCAGAGCTAATGCCTAACCCAACCTGTCAACTTTCCCTTTGGGAGGAAACATGGAGTACCCAGAGAAAACCCACAACTTTCGGCAGAGCGTTGACTTTTACTCTTTTCACATGAGGACTGGGTTCGAGTCACATTGAGAAGTTCTCACCGAGGCTTGAACCAGCTACCTTAGAGGTGAAAGGCAAGTGCGCTAACCACTTCGCCACTCTTTCAATATATATCACCGTATATATATATATATATATATATATATATATATATATATATATATATATATATATATATATATATATATATATATATATATATATATATATATATATATATATATATATATATATGGCCCTATAGCTACGATCGAGGCTTGATTCCTGCAACATGTACAGTAGTTCACTAATTATATTTCAGGTTTTCTTTTATTGCAGGTTTACTCTGGATGCTTTGGTTTCCTCCTGTAGTAACACTGGGGACCTATAACTGGATCCTCAATAAACCTTTATGCATAAAAACAGTTTACAACTGACGGAGTCATCCCGTATAAATGGTTAGTTTAGTTCAGTTTTTAAATTAGTTTACATGTACAGCAATTTACTGCAATGCTATAACTTGCAATGCTATAACACTCACAAATGATCCATATATTTCTGTTGTAGCTCATTTTCTTTCTCTTCTCGTAGACTACTTTGTTGATTCCTCATTTCTTCCAGTTCACTTTCAATCTCCATATTTCGTTGATTTAACTCCCTAATATTAAAAACACTTGGTGTTAACTAGTACTCTATATCAGGAAAAATAGCAGTACGATACTAGGATTTCGACTCTTAACTAAATAGTTCACCACACTCTAACGAATAAGTATAACTGCTCAGTCATTCTGTCATTAAACAATAATACAGACCTCGTTTCTTTTTTCAATTGTTCCTTGGCAGCATTTGCGTCTTCTAACAAGCTCTTTAATAACTGAGTCTAGAACGTTAACAGGAAGATCACTAAAGATCTGGCATAAAACAATATTTTAAGTATCAATATATAGTAATAATTATACAATACTGGTTCTGGTATAATGATTGTTTATACCTCCTCTGATTCTTGACCGGCTGATTGCTCTTTTAGTTTTTTATTTTGATGTTCCAGGACAATAATCCTTTCTCTGAAGGTAAAGATAAATATACCTTAGTAGTGCTTTCATAGGTACTGATCTTAAGCCATCGACGATGGTAGTATCAATCATCGACGATCAAGTGCAAACAAAAAAAATAGTCAAAAAAAAAATGCCGAAAAAATCTCGAAATGAATAATGCATACCATACTAATATTTTAACATATACGACCAAAATACCGCGAGTATTGGTCTCACTGGTCTCGGCAACGAGCTGCCCAACGCGCTCGGGGCTAGGTGCTACAGCGCCCAACATACATTTTTCGGTAACTCTGAATATCTCCATTATTCGACGGAAATTACGTGACCGCTGTCCGGATATTGAGAATTGTTTCTAATCTATACTTGTCTTGTGCAATTTGAATTATTTTGCCACAAATTGACGTGTTGGTTTTAATACATTTTTTAATATAATGGACATTGTGGAAAACACCGAGAGAGGACTCTGTCAGAATAGGCTTTGTTTCCGCTAAACATTCTATTTCAACAACGATACTCCACATTTTTTGGTATGCTAGTTTACTGGACTAACCTTGCTTCCGGCGGTAAATCAGCCATAAACAATCCATTTCAACAACGATACTCCACATTTTTTGGTATGCTAGTTTACTGGACTAACCTTGCTTCCGGCGGTAAATCAGCCATAAACAATCCATTACTATCTGAGCCTTCAGACAATGTTGATTTCCCTCCAGTTGTTCTCGATACTTCACTTAGTGTTAGTTCTTCATTTTTCTCTCGAAGAGCATTTCTTTCTTGTTTCAAACGCTAAAATCGCGAAACATATATAAACACCGTACAAAACAATGTGCTGTGATTACTAAGTCATATTTTTTTTTTATATTTATTAACTTCAGCCGTCAACCGAAATATACATATACAAACAGGAAGACGGTTCAGGAACACTAACACAGCGTGAGCCAATTACGTTAGTGACCTGTTACAAAACATCATTATACAAAGTCATGTTCGACCCGGACAAGAACAGTTGTTTATCCTACCTCGTTTTCTCCCTGCAGCTGCACGAGTTTATCTTTAACTCGCTTGCATTCAAAATCAGCCTACAAGAAAAGCATGGTTAAGTATACAACTAATATCATGAAGCAATATACTATCAGTAAAGGTTGGGTGGTTAGAGCACCTAATTACAGTAATCATTGTACAGTACGGTTATCATGTAAAGTTCATGTACAAAGCGGCAAGTTTACAATATTGGTGTACACTCAACAAGGGGCTTCGGTGGCGCAGCCATCAGAGCAAGCGCCTTTCACTTTTGAGATTGTGGGTTCGATTCTCGCTGCGGACTCTTGCCTGCGCTCAGGTTTTCTCCCACAGGAAAATTTGACAGAGTGGATTAGAATAAACATATATTTAGAAAAGTAATATCACAATTGTTGTAAAGATAAATAGTCATTCACTTTTAATCATTTTGTTTAAGATCCACTTTCAAGTGTTACAGGTGAACTACGTAAAGCGTTCCTCTCTTGAGTTTCTAACTCGATTGCAATTTTCCTCATTATCTTTGCAAATTTGAAAACTCCCTTGAGGGAATTTGCAATGCTGCTAAGAGTCAACTAAATCTTCCTCAGTTCCTGTTAGAAGTTCGTAACTTCCTGTTACAAGTTCCTAACTTTCTGTTCTGTTCTGTTCTGTTCTGTTCTGTTCTGTTCTGTTCTGTTCTGTTCTGTTCTGTTCTGTTCTGTCCTGTTCTGTGCGTTGTAATTGGCTAACAAAAATAATCCACCAATGACAATGCTCAGAACAGAACAGAACAGAACAGAACAGAACAGAACAGAACAGAACAGAAAACGTCAGGAAATTAAAACAGAAAGTTAGGAAAATTTAAAAGGAAGCTTTTCTGCATTGGAATACTGCAACAGCCGATAGGAATATTACAAATTCTTTCAAGGGATTTGCAAGAGAGTTTTTCAAATTTGCAAAGGAAAATTCCAATTGAGTTAGGAACTCAAAAGGGGAACACTTCACGTA